GACCAGGCTGGCCTTGAACTCACAGAGATCCGCCTGCCTCTGCCTCCCATCTCTCTCATTAAAAAAAATATATATTTATTTATATGTGTGTGTGTGTGTGTGTGTGCACATGTGACATGATGCATGTGTGGAAGTCAGAGGACAACTTGCAAGAGCCTGTTCTTTCCTTTTACCATGTGGGCTCTAGGGACAGAGCTCAATTTGTCAATCCTGGCAGCAGGTGCCTTTATGTACTGAGCTCTCTCACAAGCCCCACGACATGTCTCAAATGATCTTATTTCATCATAAACTGAAGCTCTTATTTCACTGTGAATTGAAGTTTCCAGGGGAAAAAAGTCACACCTGTATGTTAAAGATTCTACAAGATTGATTGATTGGAATGTCTGATTGTAGAGAGTTGAAGTACTGCAGATAGTATGCTTGGGGACTCTCTTTAATCCTTTTAAGGTCATTCATTGCCCACCTGTGTCTGGCCTAACATCCTTGTGGCTGTCAGGTAAAACCTTTTGAAATGTTCTAACTCAGGGCTGGAGAGATGGCTCAGCAGTTAAGAACCCTGGCTGTTCTTGCAGAAGACCCAGGTTCGAATCCCATCACCCACATGGCAGCTAACAACTGTCTGTAACTCCAGTCCCAGGGGATCCGGCAGCCTCTTCTGTCCTCCGAGAGCATTGCACAACATGGCTCACTTACCTACATGTAGGCAATACACACATACACATAAAATAAAAATAATAAAATATATATAAAAAAAGAAATGCTTTAACTCAGCAAACCACTTGCCTCCACCAACCACACACTGAGAATATTGTCAGATAGCATCAAAGACCTGTGGCAGAGATTTCCCCACTTTGTTTCAACCTGCCTATCTGATGTTTCCATCAATATACTGGGAAAATGGCTTGATTTTGTTTTGTAACTTTAAACAATTTCATGAGGGCCAGCAAGTAAAGGCTCTTCCTGCCAAGCCTAACAACTAGAGTTCAGTCCTGGAAGAAGGTGAGAACCGACTCCTCCAGCATGCCATCTGACTTCCATATGCATGCCATGGCATGTACGTGCACACACATCCACACCCCCTGCCCCACAACGCACAAGTAAATAAATAGACGCAAAAAACAGTCTTAAAAAATGCATGAAACTGTTTCCACATTGCAACCTCTTATTTGGGGCAAACCAAATCTTTGTTCCCAGACCCTGATCACTCACGTTTGGCCCAAGAATAGACTTTCTTTTATTCTCTGTGAGATAAGAACTGGGTTTTACATTGACATCCAGCCAGGATGACTGGCATCCGCCTCTGTGGAATTACGTCACTCTAGATAAATCATGAAAGGCTCTCCATTGGCATCTGTGGACCTCACTGGCATCCCCAGACTGTGCACATGACTCTAGGCCACACTACTCCTAACCAAGCTGGTGTCCCCAGGTGGTGTGACCGTCTTCAGAGCATCCTGTGCTCTAGGGTTGCTGACCTTCACCATTGCTTTGTGCACTGACAACATGAAGGTACTTTAATTGAAGCAAGTCAGAATTAGAACCCACCATCTGGGGCTCCAAAACTGCTAACCATTCACATGTGAGAGGCTCTTAGCTCTGTTCTCACGAGTCAGAGCATTACATTATGGCTTCTTGGCCCTTACCTATGATCAAGTATAGAGCATTAGGCAGCCTTTCTTAACCTTTGGCCTTATTATAAACCCTGATGTAGCATACACTCAAACACACATGCATATACACAAACACCCCCACACACAAGTAAAAATAAAACAAATCTAGGCTGGATGGGGTGGCACATGCCTTTAGTCCCAGCATTCAGAAGGCAGAGGCTGGCGGATCTCTGTAAGATCGAGGCCAGCCTGGTCTCCACAGAGTTCCAGGCCAGCTGGGACTACAGGGAGACCCTGTCTCAAAAAGATTTAAAAAAATTATGTCAAAAAGGAAAAGTTAAAAAAAGTAAAAGTTCCTCTAATCCTAACACACACACACACACACACACACAGAGAGAGAGAGAGAGAGAGAGAGAGAGAGAGAGAGAGAGAAACATCAAATAATCAGATATTCCTTCCTAAAGATTCTGTTCTTAAGCGTTCACTGGGCCCCACCCTAAGATTTAAAGCATGTTAATGGTTGCTAGGGGGAGGGGCTCCTGAGGAGCTATTGGAAGTTCAGTGTTGGTGGGGAAGGGAAAAGCATTTTCTCTGGTGTGTAGTACTGGTAAGATGTTCATGCTCCTGTAAATAGCCCCTTACCCGTGCTTGTGTAAGCAATCCTACGCTCACTGGATCACAAAGAGAAGGAGGGGAGGGAGGAAGGGGGAGGGAGGAAGGGGGAGGGAGGAAGGAGGAGGGAGGAAGGGGATCAGCCTGGAGTGAGAGGAGGGTGACAAAGGAGGATGATGAGGCCAGGGCTAAATACCACCCACATACTTTATAAACATGTTTGAAAAGGTCATACTGGAACACATTGTTATGTATAATGAACACATGCTATAGGATTTTAACTTAAAAAATGTATTGAGAATTTCATACATGCATATAAGGTGTTTTGATCAAATCCGTGCCCACTCCCTCCCCTCCAACTCCTCCCATATCTCCTTCCCATGTCACTTTTCTTGACAATGTCGTCCTGTACTTTTATTTTTTTAATGAGGCTTTTTGCTACTCTAACACTGCCCCCTCTGAAGAGGTAACCCTAAAATCTTTTAGGGATTAGATAAGAGCTCCCAAAGCTAATTTTTTAAAAGTCTTTTAGGACCAGTGAGATGATTCAGAGGGTAAAGGCACTTGTCTTCAAGTCTGAAGATTTGAGTTCTATCCTCAGGACCTGTGTGGTAGAAGGCAAGAACTGACTCCTGCTGGTTATCCTAGTATCTTTGCATGCACAGCATGATACATGTGTCCACACACATAAATAATAAATAAATTAAAAAAAAAACAAATAATAAATAGTGAAAAATAAGGCCTTTCCCTGCAGTGGGAACCCAGGTGCAATACTGCCCCACATGACTGCTTCAACTGTCTCCTAAATTCCCTTCACTCTGCTCCAGGACAACTGCCTTCCCATCTCCTACTTCAGTCTTCTCCCTTCTTAGGTAAATGCTGCACCTACTTTCCAGACTGACTTTGGACAGTGGGGTTATCTGTGTAGGAAGGCTATCCTTTCTGAGTCTTTCCCTGGTCTGACATAATAACTCTTCAGTTTTCTGTATTTTATGCTGCTTTGCTATCCATGAGGAGGGCTTGGGTGGGGGGCTCACTAAAGTTGGAGCGAGAGTTCCTAGAGAGCAAACAACTAGATCCTGAGTGCACCATTCAAATGCAAATAAACCACCCTCCTCTGACCTTATCTAAGGCACACACTAGTCAATATTACCTTTGTCTGAAATCACTCTGGTGACCACCCAAGAGCCTGGAGCCCTCAGAAATTATTCAAACCATCCAATCCTAAATTTTCCCAATTTGCCTACCCTGCCTGAATGGTTCCTCATTCTGGTTCCTGCCCAGTTCGCTGCTGCCCTGTGTGATAGTCTGTGGCATCGAGTGCTTCCTCCTCCTGTGAAGTCTTTTCCAAGGAGTGTCTCCAAGCTTCTCATTTAAAACACCTGTGAGACATCAAGGTCACATTCAGAACCCAAAGAAATACCAATAAAATCCCTTTTGGCCTCTCTCCTGCAGCCCCACTGCCCCTGCAGTTGGGAAGGCCTCCAGCTTACTGGCTGTGCTGGAAAGGGACTCCTGGGCCTCTGGTGGCTCAGACCTTGGGAACTCCGCATGATGTGGGAGCCCAACTCCTTCCTCTGTCCTTGGCATTGTGCTCTGACTTATTTATGGAACCACCCCCTTGAAGTCTGGGGTGCAGGGTGTCTACAGCCCGTGGCAGACAGACCTTCCCTAAATCAGTTCCCTGGGATTCCCTTCCAGGCCAGGAGGGTTTGCTTAGGAAAAGCCCTGATTTAGGCAGGCATCCCAGAGAGGAGAATACAGTTATTTTCTCCCTATAAATAACTCAGAACCAAAGAAACTGCTCTCCGGTTTGCCTTTGAGAGAGTCATAAATCCTTCCCAGGGGAAGGCAATTTATAGAGTGTTCTCTAGCTCTTCTCACGGTAACTGATGGAAATACAAGGCCCAAACAAACGTCCCTTACCTTAGAAATAGGCAGTTGGGTGGATGAGGAGAGACAAATCAAAGGGTGTCGTTTCAGACCCCAAGGGGGCACAGTGAGTGGCCCTGACACTTTCTATTCAGCAGAGCATGACTTTAATTTTAATTTGCCATTTTTGCTTATTCTGGGAATGAGTGGACTGGGAATAGCCCGGGGGCCCGTTTGGACAGAGAATTGAAAACAATTAACTGGGATGGGTAACTGAAAGTGAACTGTCTCCATATGAACAAACAATTGTGTCTCCAATTCAGTGGCCTTTGGAGCTCTCTGGTGGCCCTCCGGGGCTGGAGGGACACCTTGATCTGGTGGGTAACATAGCCAATTGTGTGTCCTTCCAGGGACTCCCATACAAACACCTGATGGCCCACCACGAGGAGCCCTCGAATCACTATCTGATAAGCACCTATGACGACCATTACAATCGGCACAATTACAATCCGGGTTTGCCTGCCGTGCGCACCTGGAGTAAACAGAAGTTGCTGTGGTTGCCAGAGAAGTCTGATTTCCCGCTTCTTGGTATTTTCATTGTGAATCTTCCTTGTGTTGGTCTGTGAGGGGTCCACAAGTGCACAGGGTTAAGGTGTGTTCTTATCATGAACAAAGACCCACACAAGGGACCCTGTTTTCTGGAGGGTGAGGTCACAGGGAATGAGCCCTGTTTTCTAATTAGGACTGTCACTGGCCTTTCTTGACATCGGGCACAATCTCGTATAGACTTTCTTACCTGTACACCCTCTCCTGTGCACAATGAGGCATGTTTACCCAGACAAGAGGTGTGTGGGAGCTCTAACACTGCACATTCCCGAGCTCAGGCCTTCACTCCTTAAGGGCACAGTAATTGAATCTTCTGTGGGACATAGTGGAAACAAGTACAGAAGGTTTATGTCCTCAGGGAGTTGACACTGTAGTGTCAATAAGACAAAGATTGGGTAAACAATATGACTTTGGATAGAGATGTGTGCTGCACAGCAATCAAACAAACAACACCAAATGGGCAATGGGTGGAAAGTATTTGTGAATCTCTGTTATGCCTTCTCTGGCCTCTCCTTACCCTGGAAGATTTGGTCCTTGATGTAGCATCCTGGGGAACACTGCAGGAGTGGAACAAACAATTGTGTCTCCAATTCGGTGACCCTGTGACTTGCCACCAGCAAATGAAGGCTTTCCTCTCCATCAGAACCACAGCTCCATGTAGGCAGCATCCAGAGCCAAGTGGATGTGTTGCTCTGACAGGTTATATGGGCACTGTGTATGTCCAAGACTCCTTGAAGCCCTGTGTCAACCAGGTCTGGTTTCTCTTGCAGTGCCCCCTACAAACTATGGACTCTTTGAGCAGCTGAAGCAAAAGTGGTTCATATCCAAGACCGGCATAAGGGACAGCATCTATACTTCGTCCTACCCCAGGCCACCATTGTGCGCTATGTCCAGGCGGGAGCATGCCATCCCAGTCCCTCCCCCTCGCCTTTACCCTATCCCAAGGTTCTGAGAACTACCACTCCGCTTGCTGCCCAGCAAGAATCAGCAGGAGACCTACGGCCTTACTAGACTTGTCAGCAAGCAGCTGCAGATGTACCCTGAGAATTAAATCTGGCTCTGAGAGTCATGGTCTACATTTCATGGTATCTTCTCTCCAAACTCATTGCTCCTTTTTTGTTTCCACCCCTTAATTAAAGCTCTTTTAGGAGCAGGAGAGATGGCTCAGGGGTTAAGAGCACCTACTACTCTTGCAGAGGACCCTTTTTTCCCTGCACCCACAACCATCTGTAACTCTAGTTCCAAGGGAGCTGATGTCCTCTGGCCTCTGTGGGCATTGCATGCACATTGTACACTTACATGCATACAGGCAAAACATACACATAAAATAAAAATAAAACGTTTTAAAAAAGCTTTTTTACACTACTACAATTCCAAGTGTGTGCAAAAGTTCTGCTTAAACGGTCAGAAAAGCAGAAGAATCCTGTATCCATTACATTTCTGGTTGCCGTATCTAACAAAAACCAACATAAGGGAGAAGAGTTACTGGACTGCAGTTGGGTGTACACAGTTCATTGTGCTGGGGAAGGGGACGGTGTGCTGACAGCATTCAGGAAGGACAGTAATGAGTTCTGTTCAATGCTGTTTATTTCCCGGGACTGCAGTCCAGCATGTGACACTACAGCTGAAATGGGCTTTCCTGCTTCCCTTAACCTAATCTAGATAATCCCTCACAGTCATGCCCAGAGATTAGATTTATCTCCTGAGTGAGTCTAGATCTTATCAAGTTGACGATCACAATTAACCATCACAGGTCTTTAAAAAAATATATTTATTGGGGACTGGAGAGATGGCTCAGGGGATAAGAGCATGGGCTACTCTTGCAGTGGACCCGGGTTCGATTCCCAGCACCCACATGACAGCTAACAACCATCTGTAACTCCAGTTCCAGGGGAATCTGATGCCCTTTTCTGACCTTTGGGCATTGCACGGGACAGGTGCATACATCAGGCAATACACTTATACACATAAAATAAAAGTAATAAATAAAAATTTAAAAAATTATTTATTGGTCTTTTTATTTTTATTTTATTTTTTTGGTCTTTTTTTGAGACTGGGTCTCCCTGTAGCCCCTGGACCAGGCTGGTCTTGAACTCGCAGAGATCCTCTGCCTCCCAAGTGCTGGGATTAAAGGAATATGCCACCATGCCTGGCATTTATTGGTCTTTTTGAAATGGGGTCTCCCTGTAGCCTTGTCTGGCCTGGAACTCACTAAGTAAATTAGGCTGGCCTTGATCTCACAGAGATCCACCTGTCTCTGCCTCCCTAGTGCTGGAACTAAAGGCATGTGCCACTACACCCAGCTTATTTAATATTTATTTATTTATTTATTATTTATTTATTTATTTATGTGCACATTCGAAGGTCAAAGGACATGTGGGAGTTGGTTCTCTTCATGTACCATATGGGCTCTGGAGATCGAACTCAGATTGTCAGACTTGGCAGCAAGTGCCGTACCTGCTGAGCCATCTCATTGGTTCCCATCACAAGTCCTTAAGTTCTAGTTCCCCACTTTCACAGGAGGGGAAAATGAGGTACAGAGATATAACAGGTTCCCTCAAATTCTCAGGGGAACATTTTGACTCTGAGGCCCATCAGCAAAACCCTAGGGGATGGGGACAGTGGCATGAGGGGAGCAGAGTCACTGGAGCAGATGGTGAGGGAGGCCAGCTCGCTGTTGTCGAGGCTGGAGAAGATGCGTGCTGGTCCAGAAAAATAACACTCGACCTCTTCTATGTGCCTCTGACTTCTCAAACCTTTACAGGACTCAGGGGAGGAGAGAGCCTTCCAAGTAAGGAGCTTTGGTATAAGGGTTCCTGGCAGAAGAACACAGTTCAGTTCTCAGTCAGAACAGGGGTCCACCTGCCGTGGGGACCAGTCACAGGTTGACTGACATGTTCCTAATCTGGCACTTTTTTCTTAAATAGATTTCTTTTTTATTTTTATTTATTTATTATTTATTTACTTATTTATTATTTATTTGGGGCAAGGGAAGCATGCATATGCCACAGTATGTTTGTGGCGGTCAGAGAACAGTTTTGGGGAGTCAGCTCTTTGCTTCCACCATGTGGCTTCCAGAGATTGAACTCAGGTTGTCAGGCTTGTTGGCAAATGCCTTTATCTGAGGAACCATCTTGCTGGCCCTAAGCTTGGACCTTTGATTCTTAGGATCTAACAGCCACAGCCCAGTCTTTCTCTGAAGAGTCTCTGTTATGTGTCCCCGTCTCCACATCTGCTACTCTGGGTGCAGTGCCCTGTACATAGTTGGTGCCGCACAATCATTGCCTTGGTGTGTGAATAGTCTGCTGTCTTTTGTGTGCTCCGAGATAGGTCTCTGCCATATTGTGCCCTGTCAATATTTTGGATAGAATTCATGTCAGCTGACTAATTCCCATCTCAGAAGACTCCAAGTTCTTCCCAGAGCTCAACCATTCCCACTCCAGCATCAAGGGAACACACCTCCCTTTCATCCCTTCTGCTAATTTCAGAGGGGAATACATCTCTCTGAAGCTCTGTCCTTAGCACTTCCCTCCCTCCCCCCTCCCTCTCCCCTCCCTTCCTCCTTCCTTCCTTCCTTTCTTCCATCCATCCATCCATCCATCCATCCATCCATCCCAGCAATATAAATGTGACTGGCTCTGAAAGATTATCTTATGTGTTTTGCCACCCAAACAGCCAAAACATTTATCTGTTTTTGTGGGGTTCCCCTGTAGCCCCAGCTGGTCTGGAACTTACAATGTAGACCAGACTGGCCTTGATCTCACAGAGATGGCCTCCGGAGTGCTGGGATTAAAGGTGTGTGTCACCATGCCTAGCCATTTACCTGTTTTGAAGAAAAATTAAATGGATAGATATAGCTCTTTTCCATGAATCATTCCTTTACATTTACTGACACCTGATACTGCATTCTAGAGGGGGGGGGGGAGAGAGAGAGAGAGAGAGAGAGAGAGAGAGAGAGAGAGAGAGAGAGAGAGAGATTAAACTTAGCATTGTTGACAGTTGAGCCTGTACTAAGGGCCATGATCTCTGCCTGGGGGACTGCTTATCTCATTGACTAATCACCACCACTCCGGATCCGGAGCCTGAGTGACTTTGTCACCTTCTTCATATACCTGCTGGCCTCTGGCCTGTTGCTCCAGGGTTAGCTCACCTATTCCCGCTTCTTTCTTATTCTTACAAGTGTCCAGGATTTAGATACTGACACATGCTAAGGGCTCAGTGAATGCTTGCTGAATGACTGAAGGAAGGATGGCATGACAGGAGGAGTCAGGTGATGGAGGTAGATTGGACCAGAAGAGCTCTAGGAGGCAGGTGTGAGGTGCAGCAGAGATGGTTGTCTTCCTGATTCCAACATCTGGCCAATCATTCCATAAACATACACCGAGCTATGATTGATCAGGGTGCTGACCTCACAGAGCCTCAGACCAGCAGGAGGCATATTAAATAAACACCTATATGACATAGAGGTGGGCATTGGGATGTTCCAGAGTAAAGGGGTGTCACGGACCCACGAGAGATTTGATCCAGCCAGGTGGAACCAGGGAAGGATTTCCTGAGGCAGAGATGCTTAGGTCAAGGTCAAAAAGTGAAAGAGACAGGCAGAGGGGAAGGGAGTGAGAGGTTCGGGCCACAGGAACAGTGTGTTCAAAGGCTCTGCTAGTGGCAGTGTTTGGCAGGTATGAGGTCAGCATGATGGTGTCTTAGTTTGCTATGGCTGCTGTAACAAAACACAACCCCAGTGCCTTGAAGTGATGTGCACCTATTCTCTGACAGCTCTGGAGGTCAGAAGTCCACAGGGATCTGTGGGGCTGCATTCCTTCTGTCTTTTTCTAGTTGGTAGGGGACACCTGCCCCTTTGCTTCATGGCCCTAGCCCTGTCTGCTCTAGACCAGCAGTAGAGTCTCCTTACCCTCTGCTTCTCACAAATACCACTGTGGTCGTGTACATGAATCCACTGACTAGTTCAGGATGATCTTTCCATCCAAGATCCTTCCATTGATCACATCTGCAAACTTCCTTCTGAACAGGTTGGAAAAGTCACAGGTTCAAGGGATGATGATGGGAACACTTTAGCCATGTCCTTTCCAGAGAGCTGAGATGGTCCCAGGTGGAGAGAGGGATTGACTTGATTATAGAGACTATGGCCAGGTAGAGCTAGGGAAGGCTTTCCTGAGGCTTCATGCAAATACACACACACACACACACACACACACACACACACACACGCACACATACACACACATACACACACCCTCCAATAATGATAATCATAATAAATAATGATAATCATAATCATAATGAAAGGAAGAGAAAGAAAGGAAAAAACTTTAAAAAAGTCAAACGAGAATTGGGTGTGGCTGCTCTTGCCTTTAGTCCCAGCACTCAGGAGGCACAGGTATGTGGATTTCTGTGCGACTGAGGCCAGCCTGGTCTATTTAGTGAGTTTCAGCCCAGCTAGAGCTACAGAAAGATCCTGTTTCAAACAAAAAGTCAAACAAAATAGTGCAGCCATTATCTACAAGTTGGAAGGCATCACCACAAGCAGTAGCTTGACCAAGATGACGGTTCCCTAAGTCTCCTCCCGCCGGGAGCTTCCTCCTCTCTCACTTCACTCCATCGGCCATTCTCCACCTTGATTGGCACAGAGTCCTCTGGAATTCACCGGCTTACTCCTGCATTTCTAGATCAATAGGACTGGGAGTAGGGGCACATCAATTGCTTTTCTAATAAGCTCCCAGAGACGACTGCTACTGGACCACATTTGGAACCACTCCTTGAGGCTAAGTGAATCCATTTTTCTTCTATTAAAATTTCTTCTTATAAAATTTCTCTGGACTAACAGGAAGTCAAGGGCTGGGTGCTAGCTCAGCTGACAGAGTGTTTGCCTGGCATTCCTGAAGTTCTGGGCTTTATCCCAGCACCAAATAAACTGGTCATGATGGTGCACACCTATAATCTCAGCAATTGGGAAATGGAGGCAGGAGAATTAGAAATTCAA